TCGATTCAAGCTGCACTCATTCCCTGGCTCATTTCAACATCCAAGCGGTTCTTACAAGTGTTTTCTGGGTGCCAGGCCCCGCGCTGGGTGCTGGAGACCAAAGAGCACACTGGACCTATGGTGGCCACAGGAGCTCGCTGTAGAGAGGAGGCAGCAGCGAGCTGACGGCCGACAGCGTGGAGCGTGCAGAGCCGCTCAGAAGGACTGCCGGCCAGGAGCGGCAAAGCAGGGAGGTGGTGCTGCCCGGAAGTTCTAGCCGAGTCTTGATAAACAGCCAGGTAGGGCCAGCCACAGGGCAGCGTGAGTGCATGTCCCCTTTCCCCCGTCACTGCCGTGTCTCCAGCACCCTGTAGGGGAATCAGCGCCAGTGACATGCCCCTCCCTGAAGCTGGCGACACTGCCACAGTGTCACCTCCTGTGCTAAGAGGCAGACTGTGTGACCTTTCATGGCCTTTCGGTTTCAGTTTGGTTCTGGAGCAGGGAGGACTGCAGACTCCCAGGTACCAGGAACAGGGGTCTTCTGGCTGTTCACAACTCCTTTGCCATTCCCCACACTCATGTCCCTGTGCAGCACTGCCCCACAGAGACACCCCAGTCTCCTTGTTACCATGTGGGACAGCAAAAACACTTTCCACATACCAGAAGTGCCAGACGAAGTTTGCACCTAAGAAACAGAGGGATCGTCCCTTTCCAATTCTCAGAACAAGACGCTAAAGCTTCTATTTTTTCCAAAGAAAAAGAAGAAACGGCTGTCGTTGTCAACACATCAATTATCGAAGCTTTGATATTCAGCTCCACTAGCTTGCTTGACAGTGCGGATAACTGATAGGCTGTTGCAAGACTGCTCCTACTCCACGTGGCCCTGCAGGGGAATGGCGTCCAGTCCACCAGGGCTGCCGGGGTGACTAGGGTGGAGTGTGAGCCACACCCACTTGGGAGCCAGTGATCCCGGGTTGAATCTCAGCACTGGAGGTGCTGGTGTGAGGATGAAGGTGGCACCTTGCAGAGTAGGTGCTGATCGGATATTCAACCACTCCTCTATAATATGTCGAAGTCCACAGGACCACAACACAAGAAACAGAGCATCCCTTTCCCCAGCCTTTAAAACCCACTTTCCTTCTTATCCGTCGAAACACCAGGACCACCATGTTTAAGGCCAGCCCCGTAGCGAATGAAAGGAAACGCTGCCCTGACTTCATATACCTTCTCGTGTGGTCTCACGTGAGTGCTGACCACAGCAGGGTGCTGTGCTGGGAGTATGGACAAGAGCCCAGGCCTTGCCTTGGGCTGCGAGGCACCCTTCTTCTCAGTCTTGGGGCCAGAGCTACATGCAGGAAACACAGTGTGAGCTCCGGACTTGGGCAGAGTTGTCAGTGTCTGCTCACGGTACACGGCATAGGGGCCTGGGCTGCAGCATATGGGGTGCGCTCACTTGCTCGCCCCAGCCTCCCTGACCAGTGGAAGCCAAGTCAATGCCTCGCTTGTGTACACAGTGCACCAGCAGAACAAGGGCAGGGCTCACGGCCACTCCCAACTTAAGCAATAAATCTGCAACACGAAGTGGAGAGCTGTGCATTTCTGGAAAAATGTTACTCAATTTTCCTGAGTTTTTATTTCACCATCTATAAAATGTGATTATTAATCTCGCTTTTTCTCTTGTCTCTATGGCAGCTTATGAAGATAAATTATGGTCAACAGAATTATAAAGCAGTTTGAACTCCTTGGAAGCAAGACACTCTATTAGTCCATGGTATTTTATAATCACTGATATTATAAGGTGTACTCAAATTGAACTGCAGTGAAAGAGCCCGTTCCCACAAATATATGTAGATTGAAAGTAACCTTGGTATGGTGAGGGCAGAAGCAATCAAAATGTAAAATTGTATTTTGGATAGGTTGTTAAATCTTATGTTTCCACTGCAAAAATGAGGAGACTTGGCAACACTGTCACGAGCTCTGAGCCACTGTTTGAGCTGCTGACCTGGCGTGGGAGACGAGGGATTACATTGAAGCAACACAGGACCGAGAAGCAGGGGCAGAACTCTGGAGAGTAGGAAGAGGGAGGCTATTCTAGAGAAACTGGAGTCAGAAGGCAGTCTGCAAAGTGCTTGGGGTAGCCAGGCAGACCAGTACCCTGAGCACAGGCAGGCCTGTGGGGGACCAGGAGCAGCCTCTGCACCCAAAGAATGCATACTATGCCTCGGGAAGGGGGTTCCATGAAGGTCCAGGTGGAGATTTAAATACTGGGTCAGCAGGTGGCATGGTGGTTAAGGATCTGGACTCCCACATGGCTGACTACAGTTCAAGTCCCAGACTTGGCGACTTGCTTTCTCACTGCCCCCCCCCCCACCCCTGGCCCCGTCTCTGGTGAACACACATGCCCTGTAAAATTAAAGCAGTACTAGAAATAATAATAATAATAATAATAATAATAATAATAAATTAATTTAAAAAACATATTGGGCCATCAGGAAATTCATGATGCATTCTTGCACAGAAAAGCATAGAAACATACGTCACAATTCTCCCAGTGACCTAATAGCAGTTGAGGCCTAGCTAATCCCAGGTCAACTTGAGATTTGATTTTGAAAAAAACATGGCTTCCTTAGCAAACAAAAGATGTGGGAGAAACAGTTTTGTCTTTGATTAGGGAGCTGAGTAGAGGAGCAGAAGGAAAAAGAGACCCAATGAAGTCTGGGAGCACCGCAAAGGGAGCCTGACAGCAGCTCCCCTTCCTGTTAGCCTGCCCTGGACATCCTGGGGGTGGCTGGACCAATCACCGTGGGCTACTGATGTATAGACGCCCTGTCGCCAAGTACTTCACTGTTGCAAGCTGAAGAAGACACTATGGAGGAGAGCTGCAAAGGCTTTGATCAAAAGGAGGGTGAAGAAGGACACTCTCCTCATGTCTTTGGGTGGTTATGCTTGATATAACACGTGCAGCAAGGCTGTTGCAGAGATGTTCTAGACCAAGGGTTTCCGACCCTGGGCCAGGGACCAGTGCTTGTCCATGGTGGGGGCCAGGCTGCGAACTGGTGCTGGCTTGCTGGGCTGAGCAGCAGGGTGTGGGCAGCTGGTGAGCAGGCAAGGCTTGGTCCACGTTTGGAGCTGCTCCCATGGTGGGAATTGCTGCCTAGGCTCTGCCTCCTGCTGGGTTAGCAGAGGCACTGGATTCCCAGGGGAGTGCAAGCCCTAGCGCTGTGTGACTGTAGACTGCAATGTGGCTGTGACGGAAATGAGGTGCACGGTGGATATGGTGCATTTGGGTCATCTCGGGACCAAGTCTTCTCCCCACTCCATCCATGAAGGATGGTCCCTGGTGCTGGGAAGGCTGGAGAAACCTGTTCTAGAGGTTCTGCCTAGGGGATGGTCCCTGGTGCTGGGAAGGCTGGAGAATGCTGTTCTAGAGGCCACCACTGCCTAGGGTATCCATAGCAGAATTTTGAGACCCTCCACAGTGATCCTGTTTTAACTGGTCTCTTCAGCTCTCATAGTAGAAATGCTCATGACAGTAAAGGGGTTGCCAGATCCATGTGGGAGGCTGACATAATGACAGTCTGGTCTAGATACCGACATGGTTCTCGTGACGCACTTGAACAGTCTCCAACGGAAACTGGGTTCCTCGATTCGATTGGCCACTTCCAGTGTAATATTTGAATCAGAGTGACAATTTTGGGGACTCATTTTGGCAGTGAACATCTTGGTTCTGAGCGAGCTTTCCCTGGTGTGCACTAAACACGCACACGTGCACGTATTTGGCCCTTGGTTCCCAGGGCTGCTCCAGCTCTGCAAAGTGTGGCCCCCGAACCTAACTTTTTCACTTGTATACCAGCAGACAAGGCTGGGTCTGGAACTTCAGTTAAACTGAATTAATCTCCAAAGAACTTAAACTGCATGTAATCTTCAAAGACTGCTGCTGCTGTTGGTGTCGACTGGAACTAGTTCTTGGATGTCCACAGCATATTCTGGTACCAGCCTCTACATCCGTTAAGTGCTCGTATATACAGAACAAAGGGAAGAGTGCAGAGACAGGCATCCGCGTACGTAATACGGACTGGACTCGGCTTTGTGAAACAAGAGCAAGGGCAGGGAGGGGAAGAGGGGAAAGGCAGAAAACTAGGAAGTGTAAATGTCAGTGAGCAATGTCTTAAGAAGAACCAGCCGCGGCCCTGCGCTGGGTCATTCAGAGATGATCACTCTGCCTTATAATTCCGATAACCCTCACCTTCCTGACCTGTGCGGTGCCTGCTGTGCTGATCCCTCCCCTGGGTGGCCTGAATCTCCCAGTCTGGTGTCTGGTGCCCTCGCAATGAAGCCAGGGTTACTGGAGAAAGCCTGGTCTGGCCTCCTGAATCCCATAGGCCCGGAGTGTCACCAGGTCAGGGTTCAAGCTGATGCCTTTTGCCAAAGTAGCCACTCAATAAATGTCTGTGGGGGTTGGGGGGCAGGTGGCATAGTGGTTAAGGTACTGGACTCCCACACGGCCAACCGTGGTTCCAGTCCTGGACCTGGTGGCTTGAAACTTAGGCCAGGTGCATGTGCGTGCATGCCCAAAATCTCGAGAGGAAAATGGAAGAGAAGGGATTATGATGTGGTCACCCCCCCCCGGGGGGGGGAATGATTTCTCACCTTCTGTCTGTCTCTCTGTCTGCCAGGAAGGTTGGGGACCACGATTCTAGAGGTTCTGCCCAGGGGTACCACCTCCTAGGGTATCTGTAATGTAACGGGCAACATCCGCCAGCCAGGGCAATGGAATTCTGGGCTTCTACATATAGCTACACATACTGATTCACAGATAATGCTGTTCCAGGTTTGCTTAACAACTTTTAAAGATCTTATTATTTTTATTGTGAAAGAAAACACGCAAAGAAGAGCACAACAAAGCTGTGTGGCTCAGTGACCACCAGAAAGCAAAGACGGGTGTCACGACCGGCTAGGTGAAGACACGTCGCACCCCAGACGCCCCCTCATGCTTCTCCCTGCCGGCTCCCCTTCCTCAAAGGGGCCCTGGCACCAGCACACGCGGGTGGCGACGTGCAGTTGGCACACATGAGCTCGGAGTCGGTGTGCACTGTGCAGTGAACCCCAGGCCGCAGCCGTGCTCTGCCCAGGCAGGGCTCCTGAACAGGTGAGCTCAGGGGCCCAAAGCTGGGAGAATAACGCAGCTGGCTGAGAGGAGCGACGCCTCAGATGCTCTGACCACGTTCCTCGGGTGACTGTTAGTCTGTGACTAAAGTCAAGGGTTGAAATTGTGCCTTAGGAGCTTCACAGGGAAGCTCTTCTGGGAAGGCCTAACCCAAATCATGCTGTCACCTTTCCACTTTCTGAGGCCGTTCCCTTTTCTCCTCACAGGGAGGGAATCTGGGACTTCACGTCCTGCGGATCAGCTGCAAATGCAGCATCTTCACTTTGGCCAGCCTGGCGCTTTGCTATCCACCAATAGAGTGAACATGCGCTGGGCGACCAGGGGAAAGGCCGGTCTCTCCCATGCCAGCCTACTAATTTAAGGCCCACTCTGTACCCCAGAAAAACACACACTAAGAAAACAGTATTACTACATGTAACTTGGTACTGAGTTGAAAGTAAAACTTCACCTGCAACTAGTTTATAGCAAGTATTCAAAGTTTGCTGGGTGAGTGAATGAGGCTCAACACTTTCCTTCCCAGGCTTCCCTGCGCCCCCACGAAGGGGTCCCCTAATCCCCAACCTTGCACAAGCGACTGTACCACAGACAGGGCTTGTCATTAGGGTATTTCTCTTCCATGTGGTTTATGGGGCTAAGTCACAAGCAACGTTCTTCAGAGCTGATGGTCAGGGATAGGAGACAGGGGATTGAAGATACAAACTTGCTCCTTCTTTGAAAAGGAGACGCATTTGGTGTCACCAACTGGAGACGTACCAATTAAGAGAGCTTAGAAGCCAGAAACCTGAGCTCTGAAAAAGAACCCACTGAGTTAAGAGGCCAAACACATGTTGGAGGGTGAATTTCCACCGCAACCTCAAGGATATTGCAGTAAAACCGTCATCGTCCGTGGGCCGCCCTCTTGTACTGTGCTCTGGGTAGGGAATCACTGGGAAGAGCCGAAAGCCATTAATTCCCTACCTGAGCATGTTTTCAGATAATGCTGGGAGCTGTCCTGGCTGATGGGGAAGGTTCCAGTCACCGTGGGACATGGCCACCTCCACGTGGGCAGGCCTGGGGGTAGGAGGAGCCAGGCCGATGGGGCTGGCCTTGCTCTGGGGCAGTGTACACTGGGAGCCCACGCCAGTGGCAGAGCGCCCTCCACGGGCAAGTCCTTCACCCTAGTCTGTAGACGGAGACACCCACAGAGTGGGCCTAACCATGGCCTGTCTTCTCGGAGCAGGGTGGGGGAGCTCTCCTTGCAGCTAGTTGTTTGTTCTGGCAGGAGTTAGGCACAGACTTATCCACAAAATGCCACAGACTCCAGGTCTCCAGCTAAGCGCAGCTTATTTGGAGAAGAAAAAAAAAAAGTTTTCCACTATACAACTTTCCCCAAAGGAACCAAAATCAAACCCAACCAAACCCATGTCTGCTTTCTCGTGGACTGGGTCATGCAGGAAAAACTAAGCTGGCTCCTACATCTCCCACTAGGTGGTGCTGAAGTGCAGCAGACGCTCAGATCGCAAAGCTGTCCCAACCTTCAGCTTCTTGGGGACAGAGGGTTGGCACTTCCTAGGAACCTCATCGTAAGAAAGCCACAACACATGGAGCAAAGCACAGAAGACGCCCCTGGGTGTGGAAGAGGAGTAAACTGTTCCTCCAGATCAGGATACCACTGCCCTATTTTCTCATAGACAGATTTTTCTCATCTGAACAATGGGGACTCTTTGTGATCCAAGAGCTGGGACTCAGACATCTTTGAATGGACGCTCACTTGTTCTCATGTGCACTGCACAACTCGCTAGCCAAGTGATCTAACCGGCCTGCGGGATCAGGGAGTCGCCCAAGATCAGCTGTAGCAGCTGAAGAAGGGCAGGAGGGAGGAGAGAGGGAGG